CCAGTGCTGGGATGCAACTGGAAGGGCATCCGCTGCGTAAAACGCGTGCTGGATAAGCTAGTGGTTCATTCCGCTGTGGTGACCCAAGATTAAAAAAGGACTAAGCCAAAAAGAAAAAAAATTAATGAATGAATGAGTTAAATGATACACGTTCTCCAATAGAGTTTGGTATTAAATTCTACTCATGTGATGCTCTAAAAAACAGCTTGAGCAAAATATTGTTTTGTTAACCTTATCAATTCTCATTAAAATAATTTCTATAAACTGAGTGATGTGAGATTTAACCGGCTTAAATATAAGAAGAACACTGAAAACCTGTAACTATAGACTTCCATAGTAGAAAAAACAAATGCTATGAGAATTAATGGTTACAGGTTTCCAGCATTCCTTAAAATATCTGTTTTTGTGTTCAACAGAGGAAACTTGCTCCACATAAATGAGCGCACCCCCTTTTGAAAATTAAACATTTTTATCCAGTGAATATAGACAATAATATTTGGTGCCATTAAACAAGTTTTATTAAACAGTTATAGTTTGATGGTGAGTTTGGTCACCTAACATCTTTAGGAATAGAAAGAGAATACATTTAAATTCAAGCAAGTTATTGCAAGAATAATTACAAACTACAAAATTTTAGCAACAATTGTCTGTTTTTTATTTTTCTTTTGATTTTTTTCAGTTTATTAAAATTTGATTTAATAGCAGTAGGTGGTGCTGTCGGCTCACAGCAAGTAGGTCGCTGGTTCGAGCCTAAGCTGGGTTAGTTGCCATTTCTGTGTGGAGTTTGCATGTTCTCCCTGCGTTTGCGTGGGTTTCATCCGGGTGCTCTGGTTTCCCCCACAGCCCAAAGACATGCGGTACAGGTGATTTGGGTAAGCTAAATTGTCCATAGTGTATGTATGTGTGTGAATAAGTGTGTATGGGTATCCCAGTGATTGGTTGCAGCTGGAAGGGCATCCACTGCGTGAAACATGCGCTGGATAAGTTAGCGGTTCATTCCGCTGTGGCGACCCTAGATTAATAAAGGGACTAAGCCAAAAAGAAAATGAATGAATGAATATTATTTTGTGTGTACTCATTTTAGTCTGTGCTCTTAAGTTTTCTTATTCGATTCGTTTTATTAGATAGTTTTGGCTTTGCTACTGACTAATCTAATGCACATGGACAACTATATTACTTTAAAGCATCCTATAAAAAAATCCTAATTTAAAAGAGAGATCTGTGAGGGGTGTATTCATTTACACTGAGCACTGCAATTGTCAGCATTAATTAATTCAAGCTTTAATGTGATGATGGCGTGTTAACTTTTCAAGCCCCATTCAAAACATCTTCTTTTGTGCTCAACAGAGAAAATAAATAAATAAAATAAAACTTTGGAACCACCTGATGGTGAGCAAATGTTTCTTATTTATGGGTGAACAATCCCTTTAACAATCTCAGACGCTCACAACAGATTTTCTTTGAGTTGTTTAATCACCAGCATGACAAATCACTTCCTCTGTGCAGCAAACGGCTGAGATCTGACTTCCAGTTGTGCTCTGTTTCTTTGTGTGACATTTATTACAGTATTTATTCATGTTAGTTAATATTAGCTAATTAAAAGTGCTTTTCAATGTTAGTTCATGTTAACTCATGGTCAGTGTTGGCGAGAAACTAGTTACATGTAACGGCGTTACGTAATTTAATTACAAAATAAAAATAACAGTTGTTACAATTACTGAGAAAAAAATGTGTAACTAAATTACAGTTATGAAAATGTTTAAGATTACAAATAGGGTTACATCTAAAAATATCCTTCAAAACTCTGGGATATGTTGAATATTGGGCAATGCGGTGGCACAGTAGGTAGTGCTGTGGCCTCACAGCAAGAAGGTCACTGGTTCGAGCCTCGGCAGGGTCAGTTGGCATTTCTGTGTGGTGTTTGCATGTTCGCCCCACCCTCCTCGTGCTCCAGTTTCCCCCACAAGTCTAAAGACATGCGGTACAGGTGAATTGGGTAGGCTAAATTGTCCATAGTGCATGTGTTCGAATGAGTGTGTATGGATGTGTCCCAGGGATGGGTTGCAGCTGGAAGGGCATCCGCTGCGTAAAACTAAGCCGAAAAGAAAATGAATGAATGAATGTTGAATAATATTGATCTGTTGCTTTGCCTGTTTTTGATATGCACGATGCCTTCTGTTAAGACCATTTATTAAAGCCGTGCTATTCTGCTATAACTACATTTCTCAGTAGCTTGGCGGTAGCTTCATTTCTAAATCAAATAGCTTTTCAGTAGCGAAGCTATTTTTTTAGTCAAGTAGCGCAGTAGCGTCCACACATGCTACATTTACCAATCGCGGATCAATAAGTGACGGCACCGACATTCACAGAGCTTTGAGGCCAGTGTCTAGCAAGGTTATAACAGTTTTGGATTTTTCATTAGCTTTAGTTTCTATTTTGGTTTGACTTTTGTTTTCAAATTCAGTTTTAATTAGTTTTTAGAGGTAGATTTACTAGTTTTTATTAGTTTCTATATTTTGAAATGACTTGTTTGTAGTTACATTCTTATTAGTTTCAGTATTAGTTTATAAATTCACCCATGCATTTTTTGAAACCTGTATTAAGAGCACGGATTCTCAACCGGTGGGCTGAGGTCCACTAGTGCAACAGGGAGGTCCCGGCCCACAAGGGGGCCTCAGCAAGCTCTGTGGGTGGGGTCGCGTCATATTTTTCAAAAAATTAAGCTGTGGAAAATTAGGAGGACTATCATGTTGCCTTAGTTAATTTTGTCCTCTGGCTGACCAAAGAATAATCAGATTTGTAATTTGTACTCCAAAAAAAGACTTATTCACTTTCAGAAGCTAATGGTAATGACCCAAGCATACTGGACCAAAGTGAAGAAGCTCCAAACATTTCGGGTCACAGTGCTAGCAATACTGGAAACACCAAGATAGTTACCTGAACTAAAGCTGAATTTCATTTTTCGAAGCAAAGAGTCTCTGACCCAGCTACAGTGCATTATCTGCTTCAAAGTTCTTGCTGACGAATGCATGAGACCGCCCAAACTAATAAGACATTTCCAGCTCGTCCTCAATATCGCTATGTCTTTCCAATACAGTTGGCCTACTGATGTTTTGCATTTATATGTTATATTAGGCTATTATTTGTGCATAAACATATCTAGATATGGTAATAAACTGACTTTTTTTGACATACCTACTGCAAACTTATATGAGCGATAATTTCATTAAATGCGGAGGGGGGCCTTACAATATTTTCTGCGGGAAAAGGGGGTCTCGGGCAAAAAAAGTTTTGAACCACTGCACTAGTGGGCCTCATCGATCCTGCAGGTGGGCCACGAGTTTAAAATTAACTTAAATATTATACTATGATTATTTATTGTCATTATTAATTGTCTTATTAAAATGATCAAAGTAATGGCATTTCCCATTTTCTGTGATTGAATAAGCTAATTCGGACTCGGTCTCACTGTTAAAAACAGACTAGTGACATAAATTTCCAACCGCTGCGCGTCAATTACTACATCCTCAGTTGTATAAAATCAAACCGTCGCACAAACGTAAGGGTAACGATGATTAGAGATATATCCAGCTCGCGCATGCCTCACGTCTGCAACTCGTACTGTA